GGTGGGGGTTAGGAACAGCCCCCCCCCCCCCCCCTGCAAGTGGTACAGTCACCCACCCTGGTGATCTTGCTGGGGTCAGCTGATCCCAGCAGGCTTTCCTGCCCAAGTGCAGGGGGGCTGGACCCAATGATCTGTAAGGTCTTTTCCAGCCCCTAACATCTGTGAAACCCTGATTGTAACACAGAACCTCACACCCTAACCTGCCACAGGTAAATCAGGGGATCCACAGTGACCAATGTCTTATTGCTGGAAAAGAGGTTAAAATACACTGGAGATCCCATGTAGAGACCATGCTCCCTGCTACAGAGGAAGGTAAAAAACCCCACAATTCATATCAGTCTGACAATGGGGAAAATTCCTTCTTGACCCCAAATGCAGCATTGGTCTGACCCTATGTAGACAGATAAGACCCCTTGGCCAGGAACCTCCTGCTTTGGTCCCAACAGGAGTATTGGCACAGCCATCAAAATCCCCAACTTTGGCTGTAGCCAACACCTGATGTGTCTGAAGAATGCTTAAAAACACCCTGACACATGTAGCAGGAGGAAGGGAAAAAATTCCCTCTTGAATCCATGTAGCAACCAGCAAAGCCCAGAAGCCTAGAAAATCCCCATAGTAGAACATAAGCCTTGCTATGCTTAGATCATTCCTGACCAGCATCTGTCCGACCTTGAACACCTCCACTGACGGAGAGTCCACAGCTTCCCTGGGTGTCTGTTCCACTGCCTCCCTGCTCTAGCAGTGAAGGAGTTTTTCCTAACAAAAGATTGGGTTGCCCTGCTCCCCTGTCAGGAGTGGGCTGACCATAAGGTGGCAAGGTTGGACAAGGTGCTGTTGCATGGTTTTTGGTGCTGCTTGCAGGCAGGACTGGGCAGGAACCTGGCAGCAGCAAGCGCCTTTATGATTGAAGCTACATGTGGGCTAAATGTGGAAAGGGTCACGCGTAGGCTGAATTTATCTGCAGGTGTCGGCTGTTCTACGTGAACATTAGGCTTGAAGGTGCACTGCTGAACTGCCTGCCCCAGTCTTATTTAACTCTGTCTGAGCCCCTGTATTTCATTCATCCTTGCAGCATCTGTGAGAGCTCCATAAGGATTATCTCCATTTTGAAGATTAGGGAGGTTATGTATCCTCTCTTGTACCAAAATTCCTAAAGTCACACAGGGGGTCTGAAGAACACTTGTTTTCTGTACCTGGAGTCCAGTGTCCTGTGCACCAGACAATTTCCCACCCCCTCTACTCTGGTCTGAGGCACATAGATAAATGCCTGATGAAATGGCATTACCTATACTGTTTCTGAAAGGTCTCTTCCCCTTCTCTTCAGACATTCCAGCTGCAGCTCCTGTCTCCTAGCAGCAGTGTCATCCCAGCATTTAACTCGGGGACCATCACACAAGTCATCAAAGTCCTGAACCCACAGAAGGTGAGCAGAATTGGCAGAAGGAATTCCTTATGTTTGTTTGAGCACCTGTGGTGTCTGGTATTGACTGATTTGTAGCAGAGTTCTGTTTTTTTCTCTGGGTGGAACAGGTTGGCTGGCGATGGGGAGTTGTAGGTACTATGGTTACGGTTAGGAAAGGGCTTGGAAAAAAATCCAGTGGCCCATCCATTGATTCAGTAATGGTAAAAGGAACAGGGGTCTCTTCCCCAGCAGCCTTGTTAATAAAGCATCTACACGTGGAACTTATTTAAGGGTGGCCCACATGGGAAAGAAATGAGCGTTGGCTTCGTGCAGTTTGTGTAAAGCAGGCCTGAATACAGGGCATCGTTTTCACATCAACTTTGCCAAAACTGGTTGTCTCTGCTGTTTGCTGGAGCGTTTTTGTAGTCTCTGATGTACTTTTGGAATTTTCTTTTGATTTTTATGTCTCTGGTCAAGACAGCTGTTCTCTGAAGTGGCCAGAGTGTTTAGGTCCAATAAAGAAACAAATTAAGCAGTTTTAAAGTTTGAGTAAAGATCCCTACCCCTCTTGGCTGCTATGATCTTGGTCTCTTGTGATAAAATTATGCTAATTCAGTAGTGCCTCATGAAGGCTTCCAGAATAGTTGACACTAAAAAATTCCTTCATGTGGACAACAAGCCACCCTTTTTTTTTTTAAGACAAAACCCCAACCTCCTGAGGACCTCAGAGCTACCCTAGAGCAGCAGAGTCTTGAGGCTTGGTACACTAGGTCCCAGGAGGGTGCGTTGGGCAGGAGGGAGGGCAGTCAAGGGTTTCTCAGAGGCTCCAAGATCAGGAAGTGACTTCCTGTTTGAGAAGAGCAGGTGATACCAACCCCCTGGAGTGGGGCCTGGCAGAGGGAGGCTTGTGCCTGAAGCAAACACCCTATAATGGGTGTGCCTGCTGGCAGGACAGGTGGGGCTAACACCATGTCCATGCCTCCTACAGAAAGGATGGATCATATCTGCTGGAGAAAGGGAAATTCAGTTGGGAGCATGGGGTGGCAGAGCTGATCTCTTTTTTTTTCTCTCTCCTCCTGCAGCAACAGCTCCGTATGAGGATCAAGTTGACATATAATCACAAGGGCTCTGCGATGCAGGATCTAGCCGAAGTCAACAACTTCCCCCCGCAGTCCTGGCAGTGAGGCTCTGGCGTTGTCCTTACTCTCACCCCACCCAATCAAAGGAACTCTGGGAAGAAGGTTGTGATCCCTGGCAATCCCCCAAACTGCACCGTGGGCATGGGGAGCAGAGAGACCTGCTGATGTGGAGGGGTTTCCCTGATCGACTCTGAAGCATATCTGCTAAGACTAATCTCCTCCCCTCCACTGATGAGGCTGGCTGCTTGTGGGGGCTACTCTGCACTCCCTCACACATGCATTCACAGCCAGAAACAACATTCCCCTTCTTCCCCACAAAAACACAGCCTGTTTTGGAAGAGAGGACTGGAATTCCTTGCAGGGAAGCTCTCCCCTTCTCTCTCTCTCTCTCTCTCCCTCTCTCTCTCTCTCTCTCTCTCTCTGCAGTGAGTGAGCAGCTTCCCCTTCTTTCTGCTGCCTTCTCTCTGTGGGGTGGGTGAGGTGCATTTTGATTCATCACTAGCTGGGTAGACATCTTCAGGCACTTTCATCTGGGGTTCAGGTTGGAAACTCATCCAGAGGGTGTTAGGGAGCCATGCCTTTTTCTTTCATATCCCCTGTGCTGGAGGAGGCTGTCCACTCTGTGGCCTATTCTGTGCATTGTTGTATACACACACGCCACACACACACAACTTTAGTTGTATGATGATACCAAGGGCAAGTCACGCCTTGGAAGTTCATCTGCAAAGCTGGGACTGCAGGAAGAGCGGTGCAGGTGAGATACAAGCAGATGGTTCTAGTGCCGGAACTGAAACAAAGCCCTGGTGCACTTGGGTTTTCTTCGCTTTCCACCGTCGGCTGCAGCTCTGCAAACTTGCGCAGGTGTTTCTGTAGCTGCCTCCTTGGAAAGCTTCACTATGGATGAGAGACTCTGAGCTCCACCCTTGGCTGACCCATCCCACACCCAAAGTTTCAGAACTTACTGTCCAGTCCTGTGGCTGTTGGTTGTGGTAGGTGGGTAGAAAAGAGATGTTGAGCTCTATCGCCCTTAAAGAAAAGGCCTTGCTGCCTGCTGGAAGACTCATCATAGACTACACTGCAAAGTCCCATTTCCCAGCTACTTCAGATCCTTCCCTCCTTTAATTTCCAGAGCCTGTTAGACCCCTGGATTCCATTTGAGTTCGTTCTGACTGGGACATTTGTGTTGTATCTGTAACATTGGCACTGAAATAAAGACCATGCAGTTTAAAGAGACCTTTTCCCACTTTGTACTTAATTGCTCCTTTGGTCCCCTCAAAGTATCTGTCCCATGTTTGTCTTCAAACAGAGTAATTAAACAAGCTGTTCTTCATGTGGAAGCCTGTCCCTTGAGCAAGTGGGTCCAAAGGCCTGAGGTCTGGTGCCCTTCTAAGTCCTGGGATATTCTTGCTTTCTCGAGAAGAGCTGTATGTTGCTGCACCACACCCAGAGCGTGATGCCATTTGGATGCCTGTTCCACGAGCCCTGCTGGAGGCTGAGACTGGAAGCCAGAGGAGATGGGGGCACTTGGTGGCTCACACCCTCCAGGAGCAGGGGAAGGGAGGGGCACACTTTGGATCTTCATCCCTTGAGCCTGCTGGCATGTTGAGCGTGCTTGCCTCCAGCCCTGATGCTTCTTTGAAGGAAACAGACTGCAAACCTGCGCTATTTCTCCTAGGCCCTGCCAGCTGCCTGAAATGGTTCCCCTCTGCCTGCACAAGTGCTTCGAGAGCAGGTTGTGCTGCTCTTCTGGAGCCAGCCCGCAGCAGTGGCACTGCACGAGTGGGGAGTACTGGGGCTTGGGGAATAGCTGTCACCGTTTTGTTCAGACTGCTGTTCTTACTGTGCCAGAAAATACAGCATAAACCCAGTGCTGGGTCTCTGCGGGCCCGTGCCTGCCTGCCTGCTCACAGGGAGGGCTCAGCCCCAGCCCTGCAGCTCAGAGGAGAATCCCTGCTGTAGAGCTTGGCTGGAGCACTGACGAGGTAGGGAACAGCTGGCCCAGGCAGTTGCATCCACAGCAGTGGACACCCCCTGCCGCAACTACCACAGGCATCAGAGGCCAGGTCGTGCAGACAGCCCGCGCCTGGCCCAGCTTGATGCCAGCTCCTGCCTCTGGCCTTGCTGCAGGCTGGGCGCAGCCTTCCCAGCCTTTTTGCTGCTCCGCGCGTGGGGCTCCGGAGACCACTGTGCCTCGGCTCCTCCAGCGCCCGCCCCCTTCCCGGAAGGGCAGTGGTGCTGGGGCATGAGGGGAGCCGTGGAGGGGGCACTACCTTCCCCCCAGGGCGGCGCGCGGAGGATCGGCCCGCGCTCCCCCGCGAGGACGGATGCTCGCTGCCCTTCCCCGGGCAAGGCCCGTGGCACGAGCAGCGCTGGGGGCTGCTCTTTGCCGCTCTGCGCCCGGCCCGGCAGCTCCCGCGGCGCTGTGTTAGCCCCTGCCGGGGCGTCCCGCCAGCCCGGCCCTGCAGCAGCAGGAGGGCGAACTGGACGGCCAGCGCCCCGCGGAGCGGCAAGAGAACCCGGCCGGGCGTGCAGGGCAGCGCGGGAGATCTGGGGCCGTGCGCTAGCGGAGCGGACTCCTGTTGGACCGCCGGAAATGGGTAGCGCTTCCGGCCCGGCACGTCCCGATCGGGGCGGGGCTTGCATGATAATAAGACTACGTGGGCGGAGTCTTTAGGTGGGCTGCCAGGCGGTGGGCGGGGCCGGCATGCTAACGAGCCCGTGGGCAGGGCCAGGTGGCGGA